AGATGGCGGGCGGGGCTCCGGATCGGGGAGTTTATCCCTTGCCGGCCTCCGGCCGGGGTCCCAGGTTGTGCTTAGTCTCGAGTTGCGGAGGAGGCGCCTGGGCTGATGCGGGACCTCCCTTGCAGCCACTTTCGGACCTGAGTCTGGCTGTGCTGGGGCCCGCTCCGAGGGGAGCCCGGGAAGGGCAGGGTCTCGCAGAGATTTGTCAGACTCTGGGTCATTCTTAAGCGAGTCTTTTCTCCAATTACCCGCCCCCTCCTTTTTTTTTTTAAATTTTTTTAACTCCCAGCCAGGGATTCCCTCGGTGCCTGGTAGAGGTTAACCCAAAAGTCCCTCGGCGTGGAGCGGTGTAGAGCTGTGATTCGAAGAGCTTTTGAGCTCAGCTTTTGAGCTCTCTGGTTTAACCTCCTTTTACATCGTAAGAGACTTACGGTTTTGTGGTTGCTTAGGATTCTTCGTATACATCTTCTCCCCCACCCACGCCCACTTTCAAAATTCATTTACCTCATACAAGTTGGTCATATTTTCCATTTAAAGAAGACAGTTTTATGCTGCCATAGCTTCAAGTAATAAATTTTAACACTTAAAATTAAGTCTTGGGTTTGACTACTTCTAGGGAAGGACGGACTTGATCCAATAGAGTGTCTTCAAGACAGCGTTACTTTCCAAAATGTGTTCGTTATTCCCCCGTTGCTCTGCATATGAGACTATCAAAGAGGAAAAAGTTGGCTGATTTCCCATTTCTGAAGGTTGGTTTGTAGCAAACTTATTCTCTATCCCTCACCCTTCTCTGGAAACGTGATTTTTAGCTCTGCTTCTGCTTGTTGTCTTAAAAGGAAACAGCTGACACCTTTCAGGAAGATGCCCATAATACAGTAGGTTTCAGGTGGTAAACTGTATGAGAAAACATCAAATTAAAGAATCATTATTACAGTTTTCATTTAAGTATTCATTTTGACCATCATTATTTGTTTTGTGTAAAATGAGCCATACACCCAAAGTTTCTGTTAATAGGTGATTATTGTTTGATAAAGCCAACTGTATAGCTTGGTTTTTTGATAACTGTTATGAAATTCTATGCCCAGAAGAGTGCAGCATATCCAAGCAGGGTAACAATGTCTAGAAGGACTGAAAAAATAAAAAAATGATTTTTATTTTTAATGATGGAAGGGTAATTTTTGTTTCAAGCTGCAACCTGTAGATAGGCTGAAAAGTTTGTCACTGTGAATATTGTTTCCAACAACATCCTGAAATTGAGTTACCTCTTGGCAAATAGATAATAATTACCCTAAAAGCCAATCTCTTTATGATCATCTTTTTTGGGATGATTTATTATTTCAACTATTATGTTTTAAGAATGGAATTATTTCTTATGGCCACAAAAATATTTAGAAACATTAAAATAAGTATTACTAAGTATTCCAGAAAAGCAATAAAATCTACTTTTAAGTGCATGTTAAAGTGGCGATGAAAAGAGTTTATAATTCTATTTCTGGCATTCTTTTTGATATCAAACCAGTTTGGCATTTAATCCATCAGTTAAGGTGGAAACATTCAAAATTTAGCATGTAGATTAAAGATAATTTTTTTTCTAAAAACTTTAAATTTGACTTACCTATATTGTGTTTAAATTTTTTAAACTGACTGGTCTGTTTATTTCTGTTCATCATTATTAAGCTTATTTTAATATTGCTTTCTTACTATCTATTTTTCATATAAAACAGATATATCATGAGTGAAGGCTAGCTTTAATGACCTGTTAAACAAGAAGTTAGCATGGGTGGTTAATTATGGGATATGTATTAAAGGGTGCCAGTTTGTGTTAGGTAAGATGAGAAACATGTGGGAATGCTCATATTTGGGCTAGAGCAAGTTTAAAAAAAATTCACAGAGAAGGTATTTGAAGAGACATACCAATTAAATTAACCATGTGAAGGCTTTCAAAATAACCATGCAAAGGCCTGCGTATTCACGGTAAGGGAGGAGTACAAGATGTTCAATAAGTAAAAATGTGCGTTTTATAGAAGCAAAATCTGACACTTTGTCCTGATTTCAATACCACACACAAGCACCTCATATTCTACAATGCTTTGTTTTGTATCCTGAGATAAAGCAAAAATAGAGGAGACTGGTTCTGGTCCCCAAATAATAAAACCTTGACTATGTCCCATAAATCCAGACTCCTGACCTTACCTACCTGAAGACACATTATGATCTTTGTGAATACAATGATTATGATAAAGTTGCTGTTTTCTCATTATGAATAATCTAATACAAATTTAGCAACCTTAGAAATTTTGTGCAGTTTTTCTGTTTAAATACTTGCTATGTTTTCTTATGTGGCTGACCAATCCTGAAATGACTCCCTTGTACTTCTTGCAAGTTTGCTTGCAAACTTAATCCTTACTTTTTCCTTTTCCAATACTTATATCTCTGTATCTTTCTTTGATAGTTTGTAAATTTTTTTTGTTTCAAGATAAAATGTTTAGAATCAAGTAATTTTTTAAACTGGTTTTGGTTAGAGATACCAAAAGTACAAATAAATCCCCAAGTTTCTTGACTGCTTGGATTTTGCTATTTTTAAAATAACATTTAACAAAGGGTAGATTTAACTTTTACATAGACATACCTAAAATTAAATATAAAGATAATTATAAACAAGATTATAGAGGAAAGAGACAATATTTAAAAATAAACTGGTGAATGAATGTTTTTATAAAGTTGTAAGTTCTCAAAAATTAAATTGCGAAAAATACTTCTCAGTAGGAATTTTCTAGGATGTACTAGGTTTATGGAAGAATCCTTTGTTCTTTGATTTAAAAATAAAAAGTTGTCCAATAAAAGAAATGAATTAACATGTATGTGTAATAATTAGTAAAATTCTCCAATAAGTTAGATTTCTGATAAAAATCTTCCCATACTGATTTTCTAATTGTCTTCAAATTCTAGGTCAGAATAGGTTTTTTGTTATTTTTTATTTAAAGCAAAACAAAACCAAAATGTAATATGTAGAAAATAGTTCATTGTGAACATTAATCTTGAAATTTCAGTACTTCAATGGGCAATGCTGAATTTTACACGAAGTTTAGTAAAATGGGAATTAACCAAAGTTTTAAAATAAATTATCAGTGATATTCTTGGTCATTTGAGGGGTTATAGTCACATCTCTGGTTCTTTTTTCCACCCTCTTTTCAACTTACTTTGGAATTGCTTGAGTAGCTTATTTTTATGGCACTCCAGTAAACTTTGTGTATGTTTGAGG